CACAACACACCACACCACACACCACCCACAAACACACCCCCACACACACCACACCACACACACACACACACACACACACACACACACAACACACACACACACACACAACACACACACACACACACCACACCCACACACACACACACACACACACACACACACACACACACACACACACACACACACACACACACACACACACACACACACACGTGTGTACTACAGGCGTGTGTTACAGGTGTGTGTTACAGGTGTGTGTTACAGGTGTGTGTTACAGGTGTGTGTTACAGGTGTGTGTTACAGGTGTGTGTTACAGGTGTGTGTTACAGGTGTGTGTTACAGGTGTGTGTTACAGGTGTGTGTTACAGGTGTGTACTACAGGTGTGTGTTACAGGTGTGTGTTACAGGTGTGTGTTACAGGTGTGTGTTACAGGTGTTACTACAGGTGTGTGTTACAGGTGTGTGTTACAGGTGTGTATTACAGGTGTGTGTTGTAGGTGTGTGTTACAGGTGTGTGTTACAGGTGTGTGTGTTACAGGTGTGTGTAACAGATGTGTACTACAGGTGAACAGCTGATACCTTTCCACACGTAGATGTGTCCGTTAGCTCCGTTGTCCAGGATGAAGCACTCGCTGGACCGCAATGCATCCTGGGAGAATGGGCTGTGGTCGGCCACCATGGTGACCTCTAGCTCCCCGTCAGCGTTAGACACCTGAAACACAGGTAAGCACTTCCTGTTGGACACCTGAAACACAGGTAAGCACTTCCTGTTTCCACTTCACAATAACAGCCTGTCTGCTGACTGAGACGTTACCTGGAACAGCTTCGCCTGCTTCCTGTTGGAGGCGTCCATCTTGGTGTCTTCACTGTGAGCCTCAGGGAGGTCAGGCTTCTCCCCGAGGACCTGGGGTCAGAGTACAACAGGAAGAGGTCAGAGGACAACAGGAAGAGGTCAGAGGACAACAGGAAGAGGTCAGAGGACAACAGGAAGAGGTCAGAGGACAACAGGAAGAGGACAGAGGACAACAGGAAGAGGTCAGAGGACAACAGGAAGAGGCCAGAGGACAACAGGAAGAGGTCAGAGGACAACAGGAAGAGGACAGAGGACAACAGGAAGAGGTCAGAGGACAACAGGAAGAGGACAGAGGACAACAGGAAGAGGTCAGAGGACAACAGGAAGAGGTCAGAGGACAACAGGAAGAGGCCAGAGGACAACAGGAAGAGGTCAGAGGACAACAGGAAGAGGCCAGAGGACAACAGGAAGAGGTCAGAGGACAACAGGAAGAGGACAGAGGACAACAGGAAGAGGGTCAGAGGACAACAGGAAGAGGTCAGAGGACAACAGGAAGAGGACAGAGGACAACAGGAAGAGGTCAGAGGACAACAGGAAGAGGACAGAGGACAACAGGAAGAGGTCAGAGGACAACAGGAAGAGGACAACAGGAAGAGGTCAGAGGACAACAGGAAGAGGACAGAGGACAACAGGAAGAGGACAGAGGACAACAGGAAGAGGACAACAGGAAGAGGTCAGAGGACAACAGGAAGAGGTCAGAGGACAACAGGAAGAGGTCAGAGGACAACAGGAAGAGGTCAGAGGACAACAGGAAGAGGACAGAGGACAACAGGAAGAGGTCAGAGGACAACAGGAAGAGGACAGAGGACAACAGGAAGAGGTCAGAGGACAACAGGAAGAGGACATAGGACAACAGGAAGAGGTCAGAGGACAACAGGAAGAGGACAGAGGACAACAGGAAGAGGTCAGAGGACAACAGGAAGAGGACAACAGGAAGAGGTCAGAGGACAACAGGAAGAGGACAGAGGACAACAGGAAGAGGACAGAGGACAACAGGAAGAGGACAACAGGAAGAGGTCAGAGGACAACAGGAAGAGGTCAGAGGACAACAGGAAGAGGACAGAGGACAACAGGAAGAGGTCAGAGGACAACAGGAAGAGGTCAGAGGACAACAGGAAGAGGTCAGAGGACAACAGGAAGAGGTCAGAGGACAACAGGAAGAGGACAACAGGAAGAGGTCAGAGGACAACAGGAAGAGGACAGAGGACAACAGGAAGAGGACAACAGGAAGAGGTCAGAGGACAACAGGAAGAGGTCAGAGGACAACAGGAAGAGGACAGAGGACAACAGGAAGAGGACAACAGGAAGAGGTCAGAGGACAACAGGAAGAGGACAACAGGAAGAGGTCAGAGGACAACAGGAAGAGGTCAGAGGACAACAGGAAAAGGTCATCACCTCCAGCATCCTCTCTGGCTCCTCCCCCTCCTCACAGAGGTGCAGCTGGCACCGCCCACACCGCTCATCGTCACGGATACCTTTGGACACCTGCCAATCAATCAGTCAGTGGAGATGATGTAATGATGTCATGATGATGATGTCTTGATGATGTTATGATGATGTTATTTTAGGCCCATCTCCCAGCTACCTCTTTTATCTAAAGCCCTGGAGCGAGTAGTCTACGCCCAGCTGCAGTCTTTTTTAACCCTCCATGGAATCCATGAAAAGTTTCAGTCTGGCTTCAAACCCATGCACAGCACTGAAACAGCCCTTTGAAGAGTTTTTAATGATCTGCTCCTAGCCGCCGACTCAGGTAGCCCAGCTGTCTTGGTGCTGTTAGACCTGACAGCTGCCTTTGACACTGTGGACCATAGCATCCTGCTGTCACGGCTTGAACAGTCCGCTGGCATCACAGGCTCTGCCCTTGCATGGTTCAGGTCCTACCTGACAGACCGTAGCTTCTCAGTTCAGCTAGGTGCCTTCTCCTCTGCTAAAGCCCCTCTTACCTGTGGGGTTCCCCAAGGCTCTATTCTGGGCCCCATCCTTTTTCTAATGTACATACTGCCCCTAGGTTCAATACTCACCAAACACAATACTCCCTTCCACTGCTACGCCGACGATGTACAGATCTATCTGCCTCTCAAAGCAAATGTCAAACACTCACTACAGCAGCTGATGGACTGCTTAGCAGAGATAAAATCCTGGCTGAGACAAAACTTTCTCAACCTCAACGAGAGCAAGACTGAGGACATCCTTTTTGGACCCCAACCTCCAGCCTCTCCGGTTGATATTCTGGGGTCTCTCAATAAAAACATCCTCCCCTCGGTCATGAACCTTGGAGTGACCTTCACTAGCACTTTTAAATTTGATAAGCAGGTCAGCACCGTAGTCAAGACCTCCTTTTTTTAAATACGACTAAACAAGTCGTATTTATCTTTTAATGACTTAGAAAGGGTTATTAACGCCTTTGTAACCTCGAGACTGGACTATTGCAACGCTCTGTATGTGGGTATGGACCAGGCCTCAATTAAACGCCTGCAGCTAGTCCAGAACGCAGCTGCACGTCTACTCACTGGCCACAAAAAGCGCGACCACATCACCCCAATTCAGGCCTCACTACACTGGCTTCCAGTTCGGTTCAGAATTGATTTTAAAATCCTTTTATTTGTTTTTAAAGCACTAAATGGGCTGGCTCCGGCCTATATAGCTGAACTCCTCCAGCGCTACACCCCAGCCAGAGCTTTAAGGTCTGCTGACCAGCTGCTGCTGGTAAGTGCCCAAGACCAGGCTCAAAACCAGAGGGCACCGAGCCTTCTCAGCAGCTGGCCCTAGGCTCTGGAACACTCTGCCCCTCCATGTGAGGTCGGCCCAGACCCTAGGGGTTTTTAAATCCTCACTAAAAACTCACTTCTTCTCTCTGGCCTTCTAGTCAGAGCGGAGCACGACTCCTGACTTTTCCTTGTGTGTGATTTTTATTTTTGCTGTTGTAATTTATTGTCTTCTGTTTGCGATCGCAGTAAAGTGTTTTTATTATATGTACAGCACTTTGGCTCGACCAAAAATCGTTTTTAAAATGTGCTATATAAATAAAACCTGATTTGATTTGATGATATAATGATGATGTCATAATGATGATGTCATGATGATGATGTTTGTTTGTTTGTTTGTAGCCTTTATTTAACCAGGTTAAAAATCCCATTGAGATCAACAATCTCTTTTTCAAGGGAGACCTGCGATGTTATGATGATGTTATGATGATGTTATGATGATGATGTTATGATGATGTCATGATGATGATGTTATGATGATGTTATGATGATGATGTTATGATGATGTTATGATGATGATGTTATGATGATGTCATGATGATGATGTTATGATGTTATGATGATGATGTTATGATGATGTTATGATGATGATGTTATGATGATGTTATGATGATGTTATGATGATGATGTTATGATGATGTCATGATGATGATGTTATGATGATGTCATGATGTTGTCATGATGATGATGTCATGATGATGTCATGATGATGATGTCATGATGATGATGTTAGGATGATGTCATGATGATGTCATGATGATGATGTTATGATGATGTCATGATGATGATGTTATGATGATGTTATGATGATGTCATGATGATGATGTTATGATGATGTCATGATGATGTCATGATGATGATGTTAGGATGATGTCATAATGATGATATAATGATGATGTCATGATGATAGTGTTATGATGATGTCATGATGATAGTGTTATGATGATGTCATGATGATGATGTTATGATGTCATGATGATGATATAATGATGATGTCAGGATGATGATGTCATGATGATGTCATGATGATGATGTTATGATGATGATGTTATGATGATGTCATGATGATGATGTCATGATGATGATGTTATGATGATGTCATGATGATGATGTTATGATGATGTCATGATGATGATGTTATGATGATGTCATGATGATGTCAGGATGATGATGTCATGATGATGTCATGATGATGATGTCATGATGATGATGTTATGATGATGTTATGATGATGATGTTATGATGATGTCATGATGATGATATAATGATGATGTCATGATGATAGTGTTATGATGATGTCATGATGATGTCATGATGATGATGTTATGATGATGTCATGATGATGATGTCATGATGATGTTATGATGATGTCACTCACCACGGTGGCCTTCAGCTTCTCGAAGCGGTTGCTATGGGAACCAGACCACTGGATGATTTCCTGCAGAGAGAGAGACAGGTTCAGATCTGTCAGTCTGTCTCACCTCTCCACCTGTCTCACCTCTCCAACTGTCCACCTGTCTCACCTCTCCACCTGTCTCACCCCCTCCACCTTTTCACCTCTCCCAGGTCCAGGATGAGGCTGTCTCACCCCCTCCACCTGTTGCACCTCTCCACCTATCTCACCTATCCACCTGTCTCCCCTCTCCACCTGTCTCACCCTCCACCTGTCTCACCTCTCCCAGGTCCAGGATGAAGCTATCTCACCCCCTCCACCTGTCTCACTCCCTCCACCTGTCTCACCTCTCCCAGGTCCAGGATGAAGCTGTCTCACCCCATCCACCTGTCTCACCCCCTCCACCTGTCTCACCTCTCCCAGGTCAAGGATGAAGCTGTCTCACCCTCCAACTGTCTCACCTCTCCCAGGTCCAGGATGAAGCTGTCTCACCCCCTCCACCTGTCTCACCTCTCCCAGGTCCAGGATGAAGCTGTCTCCCTGGTTGAAGCTCTCCCAGCTGACGGGGACCTCCGTTGCCCTGACGACGCGTCGACCTTTGACCTGCAGCACCCTCTGAACTGTCACCTCATTGGTCACCACGTGTTGGAACCCTGAGGCCACGCCCCCTTTCTGTGAGAGAAGAAGTGATGTCATCACAGGGAACAGGTCTCTACAGGTAGTTCTGGTTCTGGTTCTGGGTTACCGTGTACTTGAGTCTGGTTCTGGTGTTAGCATGTACTTGAGTCTGGTTCTGGAGTTACCGTGTACTTGAGTCTGGTTCTGGTGTTACCGTGTACTTGAGTCTGGTTCTGGTGTTACCGTGTACTTGAGTCTGGTTCTGGTGTTACCGTGTACTTGAGTCTGGTTCTGGTGTTAGCATGTACTTGAGTCTGGTTCTGTTGTTACCATGTACTTGAGTCTGGTTCTGGTGTTACCGTGTACTTGAGTCTGGTTCTGGTGTTACCATGTACTTGAGTCTGGTTCTGGTGTTACCATGTACTTGAGTCTGGTTCTGTTGTTACCATGTACTTGAGTCTGGTTCTGGTGTTACCGTGTACTTGAGTCTGGTTCTGTTGTTACCGTGTACTTGAGTCTGGTTCTGTTGTTACCGTGTACTTGAGTCTGGTTCTGGTGTTACCATGTACTTGAGTCTGGTTCTGGTGTTACCATGTACTTGAGTCTGGTTCTGGTGTTACCGTGTACTTGAGTCTGGTTCTGGTGTTACCATGTACTTGAGTCCGGTCTTGAAGTACCCGCTGAAGGTTCTGGACTCGTGACCCTGGACCTCCCGGTTCTGGACCGGTTTCCCCTGCAGGAAGTCGTCCATCTGCACTGCAAAGATGGCCGCTGCCCCTCTTTCATCCTGAGAGCAGTCAGAGCCTACCGACCAATCACAGCGCAGATCAGAGGCTACTACAGACTAGTATTACATATTACTACAAGTATTATATATTACTACAAGTATTATATATTAATACAAGTATTACATATTACTACAAGTATTACATATGACTACAAGTATTACATATGACTACAAGTATTACATATTACTACAAGTATTACAAGTATTATATATTACTACAAGTCAGAGTTCCGTTAATGACGATGTTTGGGTCAAAATGACCCCCCCACTTTTATTAAAAGCTACTTTTCAGTAAAAGAAACATCTTGAAGCCTTGATTATCGAATCATAAATGTAATCGATAGATTTATGACTAGAACATTATAAAAGTAGGAGATGATCCGGATGAAGAACATTTATCAAACAGGTTCCTTTTCCCTGCTCCGCTCCAGAGACTCCATAAGAGAGACGTTCCATTTGTTTTAAAGCTCAAGGAACGGAAACTCTTCTACAAGTATTATATATTACTCGGAATATTATATAGTACTACAAGTACTGCTGTATTAGTACCTATCCAGTAGTGCAGGTGGTGCTGCAGGGTTAGTAGTATTAGTACATGAATATTGTAGTATTAGTACCTATCCAGTAGTGCAGGTAGTGCTGCAGGGTTAGTAGTATTAGTACATGAATACTGTAGTATTAGTACCTATCCAGTAGTGCAGGTAGTGCTGCAGGGTTAGTAGTATTAGTACATGAATACTGTAGTATTAGTACCTATCCAGTAGTGCAGGTAGTGCTGCAGGGTTAGTAGTAGTAGTACATGAATACTGTAGTATTAGTACCTATCCAGTAGTGCAGGTGGTGCTGCAGGGTTAGTAGTATTAGTACATGAATACTGTAGTATTAGTACCTATCCAGTAGTGCAGGTGGTGCTGCATGGTTCCCCTCCGGTTCTCCAGGGTCTTCAGAACAAGGTAAGCGTCCCCGCTGTAGAACCCTCCATACAGAATGACAGGAACAGGAACCAGCTCCATGTTCTCCACCCTCCACACCTGAAGCCCCGCCCTCTCACCTGCATCTTCAAACGCCATGATGTCACCTGTGGGGGCGGAGCCACAGATTAACCTTAGTGAGAGATCTCTGCAGCTGCTCAGGTGTTCTGGTGCTCAGGTGTTCTGGTGCTCAGGTGTTCTGGTGCTCAGGTGTTCTGGTGCTCAGGTGTTCTGGTGCTCAGCTGTTCTGGTGCTCAGCTGTTCTGGTGCTCAGCTGTTCTGGTGCTCAGGTGTTCTGGTGCTCAGGTGTTCTGATCTTTAGTTAAACTCATATTTCATCTGAAACATGAAACTGTTGTTATTTTCTGTCCCTTCACCTTCCCCTGATGTCACCATGAGGATCATAAACCAGGAAGAGAGAGGTGTGAGGTTTCAGTGCCAGACTGGACCATGATGGTCTCTGGTTCTGGTTCTGATCTCTAACACCTGATGGTCTCTGGTTCTGGTCCTGTTCCTGATCTCTAACACCTGATCGTCTCTGGTTCTGGTCCTGATCTCTAACACCTGATGGTCTCTGGTTCTGGTCCTGATCTCTAACACCTGATGGCAGTGGCGGCCGGTCCATAGGGGCGCTAGGGGCGCCGCCCCACCTCTTCCCATATTGAAAAAAAAAAAAAAAAAAAAAAATTAAAATGAAAATAAAAATAAAAAAAAGTTTAAAAAAATATATATATTTTTATTTTTATTTTTAATGAACAAGGTAAATATTATATAATTGGTATCAGTAAAATGTATAATCTACAATAAAATCTCGTTTAAAATTGTGTTACGATGTCTAAAGTTACTGATAAGTCACATGTTTCCTGCCTGGCCTTGCCCATGCACCTTCTCTCGTCTGGGCGCTAAGAGAGGAGCCTTCAACCAGTGCAGCAGCAGCCACTAGCAGCTGACTGTTGCTATCTGTAACGTGTAAACTATGCCGCGAAAATATAATTTCAGCCAATCAGCGTCGTCAAAGATGACGGTCACCGGGCGCCAATGTCAGCGCCCAGTGCAGTCTGTGAGTAGTTTTGGACAGTGACTCGTATCCGGTTGACGCAGTAGTTGATGAGGATGGCTTCGTGTGCAGGTGGAGTCTCCGGACCTCGGTCCCCGCCTAATTCTGTTCAAGAGCTAATCTCCAATCCTTTCGAAAGGAGAAGTTTGGCAGATAAATTGTTGCTTAAAGACCTTGGACCGGACCAACCCGATTTGAATATATCGCAGCAATCTCGTGAAAAAGACAACATTTATACACGAGGCTTCACAAGTAGCTGGTACACAAGAAAGGCTTGGCTAGCTGGATGCAAACAGGTAAATGCTGTCTTTTGTTTCCCATGCTTGCTCTTCAAACAGCCGGGGACAGATACAATGTGCCCGTGGACTGTGATAGGAGTAAACGATATGAAGCATTTCTCCAACAAAATTAAAAAACACGAGTGCACTAAGGCACACATGACAAACACCTTTAAGCTAGCCATGCTAGGCAAAGCTAACATAGCCGCACAGCTAGATCAAGGGTACAAGATCTCGGTGAAAAAGCACAATGAAGAAGTGGACAAGAATAGGCACGTCTTGTCTAAAATAATTGATTGTGTGAAATTTTGTGGGGGCTTTGACCTGGCTTTGCGTGGCCACGACGAGGCTGACACATCCGACAACCCCGGCGTTTTTCTGGGTTTAGTTAATCTACTGGCCTCGTTAGATAGCGTGTTGGAGGATCACCTTAAAACGGCTACGGTTTTCAAAGGCACCTCAAAGACGGTGCAAAATGAACTTTTGGACTGCATGTTATCAGTTTGTAAAGACTACATTCTGGAGGAAGTAAAAAATGCCAGTTATTTAGCTATTCAGGCGGATGAGACAACTGACATTTCCACCCACTGCCAGTTAGTGCTTGTGCTACGCTACATCGACCCGCATAACAACGTCCAGGAGCGTTTTTTTGAGTTCATTCCTCTTCAGAATGCGAATGCTGACACAGTTGCCACCGCGCTGATGGAGAGGCTGGGCACTATCCTCCCCGATGGACAACAGGGCAAACTAATCGCCCAAGCCTATGACGGTGCAGCGGTGATGAGGGGAGCTAAAGGTGGAGTTCAGCGGAAAGTGAAGGATGTGTACAGTAGTGCGCACTACATCCACTGCTATGCGCATCAGCTGAACCTAATTATGCAGCAGGCAACATCCCACATCCCCAAGATAAGAACATTTTTTTCAGACCTTGGTGGATTTGCTGCATTTTTCTCCAGGTCATTCAAGCGAACTGCGATCCTGGATCAAGTGGTGGCACACAGACTTCCTGGCACTTCCACAACAAGATGGAACTTTCACAGTCGTGCTGTTAACACTGTATATGAGCACAAGGAGAACATCCTGAGGTGTTTCCAGACGATCAGAGACTCAGGTGACTTTGATCCCATAACAGTGAGAGAAGCCGGGGGCTTTGTGCGAATGATGGAAGATGAAGTTTTTTGCTTTTTCCTGACATTGTTCCACAAGATCATGCCACATGTAGACATGCTGTTTAGCCAACTGCAGAAGAGGAACATCGACTCTGTCTACATCACAGGACTCATCAAGAGGTTCACCAGCAGCATACAAACAATCAGGTAAATCATTATTTACAATGGCTGAGATGTGCTTATTATAGGAAATCTGTGAAACCTAAATGTGATTTAGCTGAACACAATAGACCAACTCACACATACTTGTTTAAATATCTTAAACAGGCTTACTGGAAATGTATATATTATATAACGTTTATAAGGTGTATCTCTGACTACTATTTCAAATAGTCAAGTTAATTTGTCAATTCTTGCCACAATGAGTAATTGTACATGGTTACTTGTGGTTTGGATCAGGGACTCCATTCCTTCTGGTGAAAGCAGTGGATCTCAGCAGCTGCCCACAAAGAAACGGAGGGGACTTGGACATGAAGAGCAACAGCTGTTGGCTAGAGAGGTAAGCAGTAATAGGAACGTGTTCTATGACTAAAAGCTCCTTTCATAATATAGGTCATTTCATATCACAATAATGATACATTTCACAAGAAAGCCCATTTTCTGTAAATTAAATAAATAGGTAGGCTAGTTAAAATATCTACATGGAAAGGCCTATTGCTTATTACATTCTGAATTGTATACACTTAACAAGGCCTAAACTGCAAAAAGTGTCCCACAGTCTCTACATTTCAAAGGGGATCAAGACAGATCAGAAAAGGTTTAGGCTTCCAGAAGCAACCACAGTGGACAGAAAGGGCCCAACAATAAATGAATGAAGTGTAAACATAGTCATTAAATGTATATATTGTAGTGACTTAATTTTAAACAGTAATATTGTTCTGTTGATGCTCAGATAGATGTCCTGTTATTCTGATAGGTTCCATTCACAAGAAAGCTCTTTGTTTGTTACACATGTTATAGGGGACACTAATGACATTATGACTGATAGATGTGAAAAGGTGATTCTGTTATTTATTATGTCTTGATTTTTTCATTGTGCATTATTTCATAGGTATGTGATACCATACTGAGTCACGCAAAGGAGAGATTTTCCTTCACCAAACACCTCATCAGCTCCACCCTCCTGCAAGGAGACCTGTTCCAGCAGCACAGCCGAACATTCCCTGAAGCAGCGCTGGAAACAACTGTGGAGGCCTACCCTCTACTGGACAAGGCAAAGCTCAAGACGGAACTGTCCCTCGTCTAAGACAATGACCAGTTCAGGGCTTGCAGTGGTGCTGTTACTCTGCTCCAGTTCTTCCTTGACAATAATCTGCAGGAGACATTCACAGAGACTGTCAGTCTTCTGAAGGTTCTTGTAACCACACCCATGGCTACGGCTGAGGCAGAGAGGTGCTTTTCCACTCTGAAAAGGATAAAGACTTTCTTGAGGAACAGCATGACACAGGATCGCCTGAATGCTCTGGCTATGCTGTCAATTGAGAAAAAACTCATTAGGAGCATTCCTGACTTCAACACCAGAGTCATTGAGAGGTTTGCCACTCAGAAGGAGAGAAGGGCAACATTCCTCTACAAATAGACACACACACACACACACACACACACACACACACACACACACACACCACACACACACACACACACACACACACACACACACACACACACACACACACACACACACACACACAACACACACACACACACACACACACACACACACACACACACACACACACACACACACACACACACACACACACACACACACACACACACACACACAAGCTCTCGCAGCAAACACAGATGGCCGACCCTTAAAAAAATGCGTTTCATTAGAGAGACAATTAATGTTAATGCATAATTAATGCAGAATGTTGTGAAGTTACTTTTGGATACCTAAGATGTTTTGTTCAACCACAAAGTCCAGGAACATGAGTACTGTTTGGAAACCTGTTGCGTTCGACTCCTTTTCCCCAGAGGAACAGTTGTTTCTTGTTTCCTTTTGTCTTTTTTCTGCCTGTTGCACATTTTGTTATTCAAAGCAGTAAAAAAGGTGCTATAGGCCAATAAGCTGGATATCACTTTATATGTAGAGAGGAGGTTTCCCATGGTTGTTAGAAGTTTATTAATAAGTGGGCATTTATCACAGAAGTGATTGTTCTGTCTCCACGTTTGTTGCATTGTCTGTGATGTATTTTCCAACGGTTATAGCTCCTGTCCCAGCAACACTACACGGTTTGCAGCTCCACCACATCTTTGGTTTATCTTCGGTGTCGCTTAAAATCTGCTTCCCATCGGACTAAAACCTCCATGTAATCTGAAGACAGATACTTGAAGTTATTTAAACCTTTTGCAAACTTTATGTTCTTTCTTGCTCTAGCCTTGCCAGTTACATTGTACATAACACATATATTATCATTATGCTAACTGGTTGTTCGTGTTAGACGATGTAGCTTTTTCATTTCTGAGTTATTGCTATATGTAAATAAGCCTGTTTGTAAATAATCCTCAGAGAAACAAAGAAAAAACACAATTTGACATTTTGTGCTGTGGTTATTTTTTTTAAATTGCATTTATTCACAGTTCAGTTTGAAATGCTGTAGTGACTTGTATTGAACCACTTAAATATTTATAATTAATGCTACTGAAAAGATGCTATTAATTTTATATCTCACATGCAGTTCACTGTAAAGCCACTTGGTGAAGGTGTTGGTTCATAAAACATGAACAGTTTTAAGAAAGAAAAAAACAGACCAGTTCTGAGAACACAAATTCCTGGTAAAGTAGTAGATGTTCAGGTTGATAAATAATATTTTCCACACTGAAGATTATGGAGGTATTGATCAGTCTTCTCATATTTTTAAGCCTCGATTTCTCCTTTCCCCCCCCCTCTAACATCACCAGAAGTCATCATTTAAGGGGTCATTTCTCGATTTTTTTTCCCGGGGGGGTAAACCCCCCGGACCCCCCCGGTAGGTCACTTCCGGTAGGTCACTTCCGGTACGTCAAGAGCCCCACCAAAATAAAAGACCACCATCCGCCACTGCCTGATGGTCTCTGGTTCTGGTCCTGATCACCTGAGGGTCTGTGGCCAGGCTTCTGAGGGTCTACAGGTGACAGGATGGTATTACATTTTTTTTTTTTTTTTTCAATGTATATTACATTTCATCCAAAGCGACTTACCAATTACAGGGACATTCTCCCTGGAGTAACTAAGGGCTAAGTGCCTTACTCAAGGGCGCACTAGTGGTGGTGTTCCTGGGGGGATTTGAACTCACAACCTTCCGATCTTCAGCCCACCTCACTATCTATTAGACCACCACTACCCCTATATGCAGGGGTGCACATAACTGCTACGCAGGTACGCATGCGCGGCAACAATCTGAAATGCGTACCGTCACTTGTGTCACAAAGCGCATTTGCGTACCGACGTACTTGTGAAGCTTTTCCAGAAGACGGTTAGATCACCGGACGACAGAGTCGGTCTCCGTGTGCACAGACATGCTGTACAGCAGCCCTGCGCTAAAACAGCTGATCACAACGTAGGGGGGTGTGTAGGGGGTGGTTTGGGATTGGGCCAGAGTGTTTGTTGTAAAGGATCAGACTCTTCCTCAAAGGGACTCTTCCTCAAAAGGAGTCTTCCTCAGTGACTCTTCTGTGATCATGAGGAACAGGAAGTGACACGCCCAGGTAGATTCCAGGTAGATTCTGGATCAGTTACACCCTGCAGCTCTGAAGAGTCCTTTTGTTCTGCAGGTGTGACTCCTCTCGGAGTTAATACAGATAAACAGTTTACCTGACGATCACACACCTGGAGACACACACACCGAGAGACACACACACCGAGAGACACACACACCGAGAGACACACACACCGAGAGACACACACCTGGAGACACACACACCGAGAGACACACACACCGAGCTACGCACACACTGAGAGACACACACCGAGCTACACACACACTGAGAGACACACACACCAAGAGACACACAAACTGAGCTACACACACCGAGACACACAAACTGAGAGACACACACCGAGAGACACACACACCGAGAGACACACACACACCGAGCTACACACACCGAGCTACACACACACCGAGCTACACACACACCGAGAGACACACACACCGAGAGACACACACACACCGAGAGACACACACCGAGAGACACACACAGAGAGACACACACAGAGAGACACACAAACCGAGAGACACACACACCGAGAGACACACACACCGAGAGACACACACCGAGAGACACACACACTGAGAGACACACACACCGAGAGACACACACACCGAGAGACACACACCGAGAGACACACACACTGAGAGACACACACCGAGAGACACACACACTGAGAGACACACACACCGAGAGACACACACACCGAGAGACACACACCGAGAGACACACACACCGACAGGTTTATATGAAAGGAGTAAAAGTGAAGCTCAGGTAGAGAGGACTCACGTTCAGTTCAGCTGCTGGAACGTTTCTGAAGGCTGAGCTCACCTGAGAGGATGAGGAGGGGGAGGGGCTGAGGGGGGAGGGGCACCCAGGTAACTCTACCCCCCCCCCCCCACACAGACACACCCAGCTAACACAAAGAGCTGAAACCTGTCCGACCGCTGAATAAATCATCTTTATATCCACTCACCTGTCACCTGTCCTCATTCTCCTAACCTCTCAGGTGTTCAGGTAAACAAGAACACTACAGAGGTCATTCAGGTTCAAAATATTCTTTATTATTTAAAACGTTCTTTATTATTATTGGGCTTTTCCAGAGCCGTATAATAGAATAGTCTCTATATGGCGCTGGGCTTTTCCTCAGACGCGATGCTCTTATTTAGAAACCGGATGTGGATTGTGTTCACTTATTTTGAAAGTCCTCCCCGGATGTTGACATCTCATAGATCTGGCTTGACGGACGGTCAGCTGTTTAGTTTAGTTTGTCAACATGTTGATATAGCCGGATAATAACCGGGAACTAACCGGGAAATAACCGGGAACTAACCGGGAAATAACCGGGAACTAACCGGGTTAACGGAGAGGTTTTGCGGGAGAATGGAGGCGTTCAGTAAGCTAGGTAGCATGTTGCTGCACGCGCTGGAGACGGTGAGTCAACAGCTGTCATTAGCCGTTAGCTTCTGTTAGCCGTTAGCCTCTATTAGCTTTAGTTAGCTGACAGTAAAAAGTGAATAAAGTGTCAGAGAGTGAAGGTGGAGGACAGATAGACAGGTGGAGTGCCTGTCTGTCTGTCTGTCTGTCTTCCTGTCTGTGTCGCAGCGCGTGGGGCTGTCTGTTGTTGTTGTTTACTTTAAAAGAGTTTCTGAAGAGCTAGCTGCAGCTAAAGCTACTTCCTGTTTACCTGCTGCTGAGTGGAGGAATGTGTCCAGGTGTTCAGACCTGAGTCTGCACGTTATAAACACGCACGCACACACACACACAAACGCGCCCACACACGTACACACACGCACACACACACACACACACACACCACACCACACACACACACACACACACACACACACACACACACACACACACACACACACACACACACACACACACACACCAGTACCAGTGTTGGGCAAGTTACTTCCAAAATGTAATATATTACATATGACTTATTACTGTCTTTTTAAAGTAATACGTCACATCACAATATTACTGTCTCTGAAATGTAATGAGTTACACTACTTTTATATTACTTTTGAGTTACTTTACCAAAATAACCGCAAAAGAATGGCTAGGTATTTTTTGTATCCAGTGAAGGGCGATGTGGTATAGCATGACCACTGTGTAGGCCATTAAGGCTACTAACAACTTTTATTACACGGCTTAGTTGAATACTCGATTCTGATTGTAAATTCTTAACATGTGACACGTTGTTAATCCAGCCGTACAGACCACTGTCAAGGACTGTAATGAAGGTTGCTAAGGAGGATCAAGAAAGAGAAAGGAGGTTAAAAGACGGAGCGCTGGACGTCAGATAAATCAGGCAGACAGGAAGTAAACACTAACGGAGCGTCCACACAGCAGCGTTAAAAGAATCTTGGAGGTGGGCGTATCTGAAGCTTGGGAATTTTTTGCGAGCAAGGCACCAACAACCAATCACATGAATCTCCCGCCCCCGACATACGAAGCAAAAAAGCCCGAAGTAAAGTGGATATAAACTCCAAACAGGTGAAAACCTACCACTGTCTCTGCCACCTCCCTCCATGCCTGGCTCCTCAGGTTTATATCCCGGTAGGTAAATAGGGACTGGTCATAAAGCACCGGGTGATTCCCTACCGCTAATTTCTCCTCCATGTTTTGGAATATGAGGAAATGACCTGCGGTATGTCTCTCCCAGCATACACGCCGTTTGATTGGCTAGCGCTTGAACTGTCAGATTTGCATACACGGGATTTGATTGGCTGACGCTTCCACCTCAGCTTCAAAAGTTGAACATTGCTCAACTTTTGAATCCTGAGATGCCTGGAAATCTCCGCTCTGCTTCCCACAATGCAGTTCGGCGAAAAGTGAGGCAAAGTGACGTCACCCCATTCAAAGTGAATGGGCAGAAGCGGTGGAAGATTTTTTTTAACGCTGCTGTGTGGACGGGCCGTCACAGGACACGGAATGGGCTCTGTAGTTTGTTTAGTATATGGCCGTGTACAGGCCCGGTTCCAGAACAAAATGACTCGGGGTGCCTCTGAGATTACAGGGCGCAGCAGGAGTAGGTTTACATGAGCAATGGTGGCCGGCAACAGCAATGAAAAACAGCATTGATGTTATGGTCCCCAATGAACAGATTATGGCATTTGTTATGTTTTGAAACCAAGCAAGTGAGAACATTTCAAGTTCAAAGTGCAATCCTGAGATAGTTCATATAGTCCAAAGTGGACTATGGCAAAGCACAAAAGCTTCAAAACTGTACTGATAAAACAAATGAGAACACATTGTAAATCAAGGCAAATATGATTTGAACCAGCTCATGGTTTGAAATGGCAAAGGTATTATTAAAACCATGCACTACATCATCACCTTGGTCCCATCAGATCTAGCCATTCGTGGTGAAGCCATAGTGCTATTGGATGCATTATGTTTGACCCAACATTTCTACAGGCATAATAATAATAATTCATTTATTTTATATAGGCGCCTTTCAAGGCTCTCAAGGTCGCCGTACAAACACATAAAAAACAAGATACACAATAGATAACACCAGCATAAGAAACATAAACAAGACAATGCAGTATATCAATCAATCAATCAATCAAATAATCAAATCAATAAAAAGAGGATGTGTGATGGATAATGATCAGGGTGGATATGCGAGTGTGAAGAGATGTGTTTCGAGGCGTGATTTGAAAATCGGGAGAGAGTCAGTGTTGCGGATGTCAGGTGGGAGAGAGTTCCAGAGGCGGGGTGCAGAGCGGCTGAAGGCTCTAGACCCCATGGTGGTTAGGGGGGGTGCAGAGCGGCTGAAGGCTCTAGACCCCATGGTGGTTAGGGGGGGTGCAGAGCGGCTGAAGGCTCTGGACCCCATGGTGGTTAGGGGGGGTGCAGAGCGGCTGAAGGCTCTGGACCCCATGGTGGTTAGGGGGGGTGCAGAGCGGCTGAAGGCTCTGGACCCCATGGTGGTTAGGGGGGGTGCAGAGCGGCTGAAGGCTCTGGATCCCATGGTGGTTAGGGGGGGTGCAGAGCGGCTGAAGGCTCTGGACCCCATGGTGGATAGGGGGGGGTGCAGAGCGGCTGAAGGCTCTGGACCCCATGGTGGTTAAACGGAAGGGGGGTGCAGTGAGGTGGAGGGAAGCAGAAGACCTGAGTGTGCGGATGGGTGTGTTGATGTGCAGGAGGTCGGAGATGTACAGAGGAGTGAGGTTATGGATGGCCTTAAAGGTGAGGAGCAGAATCTTAAAAACGATACAGGATTTGACGGGGAGCCAGTGAAGTTGCTGAAGAACAGGAGTGATGTGGTTAATGGAGGGGGTTCTGGTAATGATGCGGGCGGCAGGGTTCTGGACCAGTTGAAGTCTGTGGATGGATTTGAGAGGGAGACCAAAGAGAAGGGAGTTGCAGTAGTCGATGCGGGAAGTGACCAGGGTGTGAACAAGAATGGCGGTGGTCTTAGGGTTAAGGGACGGGCGGAGGCGGTTGATGTTGCGTAGATGGAAATAGGCAGACCGAGTGATATTACTGATGTGAGATTTGAATGAAAGTGTGCCGTCGAGGATGACACCCAGACTCTTAACCCGAGGGGAGGGGGAGACTGAAGAGTTGTCTATTGTAATGGAGAAACTGTCAGGTTTGGTTAGGGTGGATTTTGTGCCAATGAGGAGAACCTCTGTTTTATTGTCGTTAAGTTTGAGAAAGTTAGAGGAAAACCAGGATTTGATGTCCTGTAAGCAGTCAGACAGGGAGGATGGAGGGAGGATGGTGGTTGGTTTGGAGGACAAGTAGAGCTGGGTGTCATCCGCGTAGCAATGAAAGTGGATGTTATGTTTACGGAAGACATTGCCAAGAGGAAGTAAATAGATGATAAAAAGAAGAGGCCCCAGGACAGAGCCCTGGGGAACACCGGTCGTGACTGGAAGTGGCTGTGATTTGAAGGTTTTGAGTTGGATGAACTGAGTGCGGCCAGAGAGATATGATTTAAACCAGAGGAGGGGTGTGTCAGTGATCCCGATGGAGGTCAGTCTGTCAATGAGGATGCTGTGGGAAATGGTGTCAAAAGCTGCAGTAAGATCAAGGAGGATGAGGATAGTTAATAGTCCGGAGTCAGCGGCCATGAGGAGGTCGTTAGTGATTTTCACCAGTGCTGTTTCTGTGCTGTGATGGGGGCGGAAACCAGATTGAAATTGTTCGTACAGGTTATTGTCAGACAAGTGGGTATGGATCTGGGATGCAACAGTTCTTTTGAGAGAAATGGTAGGTTAGATATTAAAAGTTATTAAAGTTGTTGGGGTCTGTACCAGGTTTCTTCATTATGGGCGTGATGGCGGCTGATTTGAAAAGGGAGGGAACAAGACCAGAGGTGAGGGAGGAGTGTATGATGACAGTTATAAGGGCGGACAATGAAGGTAGACAGGCTTTTACCAGGGGGGTAGGAAGAGGGTCTAACTGACAGGTAGATGGCTTGGATTTACGGATGAGGTCAGATATTACAACAGCAGAGGGAAGTGTGAAACTTGAAAGAGAATGAGAGGGAGGGTCGGTGAAAACAGGGAGAGATATACTGCAGGTGGTGTTGGGAGTTAGTTGCTGGTGAATGTTTTCTATTTTGTCATTAAAAAATGACATGAGGGAGTTACAGTAGCAGAATACTGATGAGGTGCAAGAGAGTCCGGTGGTCGTAGAATGTTCTTCACTGTAGAGAACAGGACCCTTGTGTTCCCTTCGCCAGAGCTGATGAGAACTGCGTAATAGGATGATTTGGCTGTAGAGAGTGTCCTTGTAGTGGAGAATGTGGTTATTGTACATTTCTTTGTGAACGACAAGTCCAGTTTTTTTGCAGAGGCGTTCCAATCGACGGCCTTTTGTTTTGAGTTGGCGTAGTTCAGGTGTAAACCAAGGAGCAGAATGGGTGAAGGGAACAGACCGGGTTTTTAAAGGAGCCATGGTATTGAGCAGTTTATGAAGATTGTTATTGTAATGAGAAACCAGTTCATCAGGCGGGGATGAACAATGTATGCTGGGGAGGTTGTGAATGCCACCGGAGAGTGTAGTTAAATGAATATCCTTGATGTTGCGGAAGGAAATAACACGTGACAGATTTGGTTTGGACAGTGTTAAGGTGACAGTAAAGGATATTAATGAGTGATCAGAAATTGGAAGATCAGTTGCAGTACATTTAAGAGCCAGACACCAGAACAGCAGATCAAGTCCAGAATATGTCCTTTGGAATGAGTCGGAAAATCGATATGTTGCTGTAATCCAAAACTGTCCAGGCAAGATGTGAAGTCCTTTGTGAGAGCATTGTTGACAGTATCCATATGTATATTCAAATCTCCCAGCTCTATTATGTTAGGTGAGAGTGAGCAGAGATGTGTGATGAAAGCAGCAAATTCGTTTATGAAATTATTATTAAGCTTAGGTGGACGGTAGACGCTTGCAACTATGGTAGGGATAGGCCCATTGAGTTGTAAGGCGATTCAAATGAGCCGTGAACAGGCACAGATACAGACGAGACTTTCAAACTAGAGACCTCCCCCTCTGCCGGTGGCACGGGGTTGACAGATGTAAACAAACCCAGGAGGAGTCGATTCATTCAGCTGTGGAAAGTCATTAGGTTGTTGCCACGTTTCTGTCAAACAGAGAAAATCAAACTTACGTTCAGTCAGGAGATCTTGGAGAAGAGGACCCTCGGTCGTAAGAGAACGGATGTTAAATAGTCCAAAGTTGACATCAGTGTGGCCGTGTTTATGTTTAGCGCTAACGTTAGCCGACCTGGCTAAGCTGGCTAAGACAGTGTGGTCCACTTTCCGTGCAGAATTTCTTGGGTGTTGTCGAATTGAAGACCAGATGGATTGTATGGGTTTGGAGTCATCGATGTAAAATCTTCGCCGGGAACCACGGTGGATATATTTCCGACGGGGATGACGAGCGATGTCCAGAAAGAGGTGCAATGCCGGTGATGTGTCGGGCAGGTGGAATCGTAGTCGGAGGAGCTCAGCAGCTGTGTATTGGAGTGCTGCAGTCGCTAGGTTGAACGACAGGGCAGTCCAGATGAGCACAGACCACACAAACAGCTCGTTGATCCACATAGTTGTCGGTGATGTTTGGCTAGAGGATGGGCCTCACGCCGCGGAAGCAGCCAGGTGAGGGGTGGTGGCCCCGACACACAGGTAGGGTAGATGTTAGTCCAAAATACACACACACACTGCATATACGTACACCGGTTAATTCGATCGTTGGGCAGATACATCCAGACCATATTATAATGGCCAAAGTCATCAAAGTGAGCGATAACAGTTGCATTACATACAACTAAAACTAGCTGGAGAGCAGCGGCAGCTAAGTGCGCCAGCGTTCGCTCTGTCCGCCATCATACGATCATCATCAGGCATGGCAGAATATGGCACTATTTTTACATTCATATTCTAGCCATTGTCTATTTTTATACCACGAGCTGCAAAATGACCGCCTTACCCCACTGTACAGGCGGTACACCTGTCTGTCTCTCACCTGTCTGTCTCTCACCTGTCTGTCTCTCACCTGTCTGTCTCTCACCTGTCTGTCTCTCACCTGTCTGTCTCACACCTGTCTGTCTCTCACCTGTCTGTCTCTCACCTGTCTGTCTCTCACCTGTCTGTCTCTCACCTGTCTGTCTCTCACCTGTCTGTCTCTCACCTGTCTGTCTCTCACCTGTCTGTCTCTCACCTGTCTGTCTCTCACCTGTCTGTCTCACACCTGTCTGTCTCTCAGAGGGAGCCCACAGTGGATCTGCTCGAATCGTTTTTGGATCACTGGAAGTCGATCACTAATTATTACATCGAGACGACAGGTGAGGCTTTAACCTGCAGACACACCTGATCCTGCTCAGCCAATCACAGTCACCCACTGTGTGTGTGTGTGTGTGTGTGTGTGTGTGTGTGTGTGTGTGTGTGTGTGTGTGTGTGTGTGTGTGTGTGTGTGTGTGTGTGTGTGTGTGTGTGTGTGTGTGTGTGTGTGTGTGTGTGTGTGTGTGTGTGTGTGTGTGGTGTGTGTGTGTGTGGTGTGTGTGTGTGTGTGTGTGTGTGTGTGTGTGTGTGTGGTGTGTGTGTGTGTGTGTGTGTGTGTGTGTGTGTGTGTGTGTGTGTGTGTGTGTGTGTGTGTGTGTGTGTGTGTGTGTGTGTAGATGACAGTCGTCCTGTCAAACAGACAGAGATCCCGTGGCGTCTCAAACAGATGCTGGACATCCTGGTGTACGAGGAGAAACAACAGGTAACACACACATGGACACACACACATGGACACACACACACACACACACACACACACACACACACACACACACACCTGGACACACACACATGGACACACACACATGGACACACACACCTGGACACACACACCTGAACACACACAAATGGACACACACACCTGAACACACACACCTGATGGTTGTGTGTGTGTGTGTGTGTGTGTAGGACTCTGGAGCGTGTCTGCAGTATCTGCTGCAGCACAAGCTGCTGGAGACTCTGGTGACGCTGGGGAAGGCTCAGGTAAATATCTTTCATTAATAAAGCTTCATGTTTGTTTTGAACTCACATTAAAGAGTCCTCTCCCCCCCCCCCCCCCCCCCCCCCCCCTCAGTACCCCCCAGGTATGGTGCAGCAGGTGTTGCTGTTCTTCTCTAAGCTGCTGTCTCAGGTCCAGAAGTCTCTGCTGCCTCTGGTCACCGTCTACAGACCTGTACAGGTAACTTTCACCTGGAAGACACTGACCTGTACAGGTAACTCTCACCTGAGACACTGACCTGTACATGTAACTCTCACCTGAGACACTGACCTGTACAGGTAACTTTCACCTGGAAGACACTGACCTGTACAGGTAACTCTCACCTGGAGACACTGACCTGTACAGGTAACTTTCACCTGAGAGACACTGACCTGTACAGGTAACTCTCACCTGAGAGCCACGACCTGTACAGGTAACTCTCACCTGAGAGACACTGACCTGTACAGGTAACTCTCACCTGAGACACTGACCTGTACAGGTAACTCTCACCTGAGACACAGACCTGTACAGGTAACTCTCACCTGGAGACACTGACCTGTACAGGTAACTCTCACCTGAGACACTGACCTGTACAGGTAACTCTCACCTGAGACACAGACCTGTACAGGTAACTCTCACCTGGAGACACTGACCTGTACAGGTAACTCTCACCTGAGACACTGACCTGTACAGGTAACTCTCACCTGGAGACACTGACCTGTACAGGTAACTCTCACCTGAGACACTGACCTGTACAGGTAACTCTCACCTGGGAGACACTGACCTGTACAGGTAACTCTCACCGGAGAGACACTGACCTGTACAGGTAACTCTCACCTGAGAGACACTGACCTGTACAGGTAACTTTCACCTGGAAGACACTGACCTGTACAGGTAACTCTCACCTGAGACACTGACCTGTACAGGTAACTCTCACCTGGAGACACTGACCTGTACAGGTAACTCTCACCTGAGACACTGACCTGTACAGGTAACTCTCACCTGGGAGACACTGACCTGTACAGGTAACTCTCACCTGGAGACACTGACCTGTACAGGTAACTCTCACCTGAGACACTGACCTGTACAGGTAACTCTCACCTGAGACACTGACCTGTACAGGTAACTTTCACCTGGAAGACACTGACCTGTACAGGTAACTCTCACCTGAGACACAGACCTGTACAGGTAACTCTCACCTGAGACACTGACCTGTACAGGTAACTCTCACCTGGAGACACTGACCTGTACAGGTAACTTTCACCTGGAAGACACTGACCTGTACAGGTAACTCTCACCTGGAGACACTGACCTGTACAGGTAACTCTCACCTGAGACACTGACCTGTACAGGTAACTCTCACCTGGAGACACTGACCTGTACAGGTAACTTTCACCTGGAAGACACAGACCTGTACAGGTAACTCTCACCTGAGACACTGACCTGTACAGGTAACTTTCACCTGGAAGACACAGACCTGTACAGGTAACTCTCACCTGAGACACTGACCTGTACACGTAACTCTCACCTGAGACACTGACCTGTACAGGTAACTCTCACCTGAGACACTGACCTGTACAGGTAACTCTCACCTGAGACACTGACCTGTACAGGTAACTCTCACCTGAGACACTGACCTGTACAGGTAACTCTCACCTGAGACACTGACCTGTACAGGTAACTCTCACCTGAGAGACACTGACCTGTACAGGTAACTCTCACCTGAGAGACACTGACCTGTACAGGTAACTCTCACCTGAGAGACACTGACCTGTACAGGTAACTCTCACCTGGAGACACTGACCTGTACAGGTAACTCTCACCTGAGACACTGACCTGTACAGGTAACTCTCACCTGGGAGACACTGACCTGTACAGGTAACTCTCACCTGAGACACTGACCTGTACAGGTAACTCTCACCTGAGACACTGACCTGTACAGGTAACTCTCACCTGAGACACAGACCTGTACAGGTAACTCTCACCTGAGACACTGACCTGTACAGGTAACTCTCACCTGGAGACACTGACCTGTACAGGTAACTTTCACCTGGAAGACACTGACCTGTACAGGTAACTCTCACCTGGAGACACTGACCTGTACAGGTAACTCTCACCTGGAGACACTGACCTGTACAGGTAACTTTCACCTGGAAGACACAGACCTGTACAGGTAACTCTCACCTGAGACACTGACCTGTACAGGTAACTTTCACCTGGAAGACACAGACCTGTACAGGTAACTCTCACCTGAGACACTGACCTGTACAGGTAACTCTCACCTGGAGACACTGACCTGTACAGGTAACTCTCACCTGGGAGACACTGACCTGTACAGGTAACTCTCACCTGAGACACTGACCTGTACAGGTAACTCTCACCTGAGACACTGACCTGTACAGGTAACTCTCACCTGAGACACTGACCTGTACAGGTAACTCTCACCTGAGACACTGACCTGTACAGGTAACTCTCACCTGAGACACTGACCTGTACAGGTAACTCACCTGGGAGACACTGACCTGTACAGGTAACTCTCACCTGGGAGCAGTATTTCCGCCAGACCAGGGCTGAGAGGGCGTCCACCCCGAGAGCGGGTGTGACGTCACGTCGTGTCACGTGACTTGAATTTTGAATTTAGCCGTCCCTTAAGTTATAGATACTATCTCTTTACGTATTAGTGATGGGAATTCTGGCTCTTCTTAGTGAGTCGGATCATTTGGCTCGGCTCACTAAGAAGAGCCGGCTCTTCTTAGTGAGCCGGATCATTTGGCTCGGCTCACTAAGAAGAGCCGGCTCCTTTTAGTGAGCCCGATCATTTGGCTCGGCTCACTAAGAAGAGCCGGCTCTTCTTAGTGAGCCGGATCATTTGGCTCGGCTCACTAAGAAGAGCCGGCTCCTTTTAGTGAGCCCGATCATTTGGCTCGGCTCACTAAGAAGAGCCGGCTCTTCTTAGTGAGCCCGATCATTTGGCTCGGCTCACTAAGAAGAGCCGGCTCTTCTTAGTGAGCCGAGCCAAATGATCCGGCTCACTAAGAAGAGCCGGCTCTTCTTAGTGAGTCGGATCATTTGGCTCGGCTCCCTTATAAGAGCCGGCTCTTCTTAGTGAGCCGGATCATTTGGCTCGGCTCACTAAGAAGAGCCGGCTCTTCTTAGTGAGTCGGATCATTTGGCTCGGCTCACTAAGAAGAGCCGGCTCTTCTTAGTGAGTCGGATCATTTGGCTCGGCTCACTAAGAAGAGCCGGCTCTTCTTAGTGAGCCGAGCCAAATGATCCGGCTCACTAAGAAGAGCCGGCTCCTTTTAGTGAGCCGGATCATTTGGCTCGGCTCACTAAGAAGAGCCGGCTCCTTTTAGTGAGCCGGATCATTTGGCTCGGCTCACTAAGAAGAGCCGGCTCTTTTTAGTGAGCCGGATCATTTGGCTCGGCTCACTAAAAAGAGCCGGCTCTTTCGGCTCCCAAACGGCTCTTCATGTTCCCACAGTTTACCACGGAGTATGGAGCTAATTCCCTGCCATAACTCCACAAACAAACTAAACAGGTTTTACAAATGCCTTATGATTCACTAACAAACACAATGTGGTTTGCAAATACAAAACACCATCTACAAACTAATGCATTTAGTTTTGCAAAGAAAAAACGTATCTATCAAACAAACACATAACATTATTCTAATAAATCATGTTTCAGAGACAAATTCAGCTTAGGTTTTACAAGTACACAACTTTTTTTTACAAGTGCACAAATTTGTTTTACAACTACAACACTTTGTTTTACAACTACAAAACTTTTTTTTACAAGTACAAAACTTTTTCTTCTCACGGCGGAATATTACTGCCAAAAGTCACGTGACTGAGACTTTTGGCAGTAATATTCCGCCATGGCTGGCTCATACACAGTCACACATGCTCACTCACACATGCTACACGGCAGCAGGGGGCGCTACTGAGTCCATTGGGAAGACGGGAGGTTGAGCAGAGCATGGAACAGCTCTTGCCAGTCTGATGACAGGTGTTATAGTGATAATATTATAAACAAGGTGAATTTAGCGATCACAACGAAAACAGCCAAGACACATATTGAGCCCAGAAAATAAATGTTATTAGGGGCTGTAAATATAATAAGCCTTTGTCTAAAATGGACAACATTGTAACTAAAGAGATTTAAACTATATATACAGCCAGGGGACGTTCGGGACGAATCCCGATGGGCCGGTACTGAAGTGGGCCGGTCGGATAAGTCACTGCTCACCCCCCCTTCCCCCCCGTCGACAATTTCCTCGCGGTATTTACTTGCGGCACCACCGAGGTGGGCCGCTTACTTGCGGTACCGAGGTGGGCCGGCGGTACCGAAGTGGGCCGGTCGAGAGTCCCGGGCTGATTTGTAGTCCCAGTCCGCCCCTGTATACAGCGATTCTGCACTCGGTCAATCAGCTGCTTTTCATTTTTATTCCTGCTATATTCAATGAGTGATACAAATATTTTTTACCACAAGTTCTTAATAAAACTGATACTGTTGGACTCGGTACTAGTTGACTGCAACCAGAAATAAAATGAAGTACTTTACTGTGTACTTTGTGAGTAATCCTCTGTCAGAGTCCCCTCCATAGTACATAATGCATGTTTTTTGCTATCTTTGATGAATGATAAAAATAAAATGTTACCATTAGTTCTTAATGAAATTGATACGGTTTGACTTTGTATTAGTAAGCCTACTACTAACAATACATTGAAGTACTTTTACTGTGTATTTTTTGAGAAATACTCTGTCAAAGTCCCCTCCTGTGAACAAAATCAAGCCACTTCTGCTAAGTTTGATGAGGGAATTCTTTTTTGTTGCCATTAGTTCTTCGTGAGATTGATCCTGTTGGACTCAGTACTACTGAAACTACCCCCACAAGTACTATGAAGTACTTATTGTGTACTTTTCCAGTAATCCTCTGTCAATGTCCCCTCCTGAGTACAAGAATGCATGTTTTTCTTTTAATAAGCGTTAAAAAACATTTCTTCCTGAGACTGATATTGTTGGACAGAGTATTTTAAGAGGATGGTAGACATGATATCAGCAATACTTCCAGTCAGTACTCCGGCAGCAGCATTTTCACACCTTGGAAAGTCTTTAGAGTCTGGCCTGGACAGCTGGTCTATCCTTCAGCAAAGTAACACACTCTGTCACATGGTTGCCCTCTTATGATGCTGCTGTCTTTTAATATATAATTATTCCTCTGCCGCTAGTTCGTTCCTCTCAGATTCTTCAGTCTCATCCTTCCATCAGTCCCAGTTAACGCCTCCAGCCCACTTCCAGTATCTGACTCCATATTGTCCTGATGCTGTAAGGGTGATGCCCCATGATCACAAAATGACCCCTCTAGAGTGCCAAGGACCTCATATTATGTCTGTCATTAATGTTACATCACCCATTAAATCACCCAAAAAATATTTTTTTCCCTCATCAAACTTAGAAGAAGTGGCTTGATTTTGTTCTCAGGAGGGGACTTTGACAGAGTATTTCTCAAAAAAATACACAGTAAAAGTACTTCAATGTATTGTTAGTAGTAGGCTTACTAATACAAAGTCAAACCGTATCAATTTCATTAAGAACTAATGGTAACATTTTATTTTTGGGTCATTCCAGAATTGGAGGACATTTCATGTCCCCCATATAAAAAATCTAATAATCCATGCCCAAAAAGCTAAGACATGCACTTGTTGTGTTAAATATACTTGTCTTGAGACAAGATGCATATAAAGTTGTAGAAAAAGTGGTTTCAAAATATTATTTAAAATATCAAATAGCTCTCGAACACCCCCTAAAATTGCCCTTTTCTCTTGTCCCAGCTTCTTGGTGACCAACTTGCATGTCAAATATAACATTTAAAATAGGGTTTTTATTTACTTTTTTGGTATTATTCTATTGATATATGTGTCTTGTAATGGTAAAATCAATTTGTTAAATCATAAACACATTTTAAATAACAGTAATTTTGCACAGAAGGTGTGTCCCTCAACATGCGCGCAACCCTGTTACCGAAACCTTTTTAGCTTGGCAGAGGAAGTGAAAAAACTGTTTGTCGCATGACACAGTGGAAAGGACATCAGCAAGCCATGTGCTACTACCATGGGTAGACCACAACTAAGTCCTCTCTTTTATTTGTAATATATTTCCAATCTTGTCACTCTTGAAGGAGTGTGGCACTCATACAAACGCAACCCTGTTACTCAAATTATGAGACTAAAACAAATTAATTTCAAATGTATCTTTCTTTTGTTAAATATATATAAATATAAATATAATATAAAGTGTGTCCATTCCTTGACAATAGCATTACATTGTGCAGCTAGCATTAATTCCTGAGGTAAAAGCTAAAATTAGCATTGATTTTCAACCCTGTTACTATAATTAGAGTAACAGGGTTAATTCTTCATTGGAAAATATACATTTGATGCCTTAGCTGGGCAAATCACTTTTTTTTATGGTTTATTATCTGTTTTTCCTAAATACATAACAAAAAATAATCAAATGAAAGGTTCATTTTTCAAAAATGTTGGTGTCTAAATTGTCCTCCAATTCTGGAATGACCCTTTTATCATTCATCAAAGATAGCAAAAAACATGCATTATGTACTATGGAGGGGACTCTGACGGAGGATTACTCACAAAGTACACAGTAAAGTACTTCCTTTTATTTCTGGTAGCAGTCAACTAGTACCGAGTCCAACAGTATCAGTTTTATTCAGAACGTATGGTAAAAAATATTTGTATCACTCATTGAATATAGCAGGAAAGAAAATGAAGAGCAGCTGATTGACCGAGTGCAGAATCGCTGTATAGTTTAAATCTCCTTAGTTACAATGTTGTCTATTTTAGACAAAGGCTTATTATATTTACAGCCCTAAGAACATTCATTTTCTGGGCTCAATATGTGTCTTGGCTGTTTTCGTTGTAATCGCTAAATTCAGATGCTGGATCGCTAGAAACACCGCTGTCATGATCAGGCTGGCAAGAGCTGTTCCATGCTCTGCTCAACCTCCCGCCTTCCCAATGGACTCAGTAGTGCCCCCTGCTGCCGTGGAGCATGTGTGAGTGTGTATGAGCACAACCACGGCGGAATATTACTGCCAAAAGTCACGTGACTCAGTCACGTGACTTTTGGCAGTAATATTCCGCCGTGAGAAGAAAAAGTTTTGTACTTGTAAAAAAAAGTTTTGTAGTTGTAAAACAAATTTGTGCACTTGTAAAAAAAAGTTGTGTACTTGTAAAACCTAAGCTGAATTTGTCTCTGAAACATGATTTATTAGAAAAATGTTATGTGTTTGTTTGATAGATACGTTTTTTCTTTGCAAAACTAAATGCATTAGTTTGTAGATGGTGTTTTGTATTTGCAAACCACATTGTGTTTGTTAGTGAATCATGAGGCATTTGTAAAACCTGTTTAGTTTGTTTGTGGAGTTATGGCAGGAAATTAGCTCCATAACGGAGCCTCAGTTTCACCGCTGCGAGGCTCCGGCGCTCGCAGTTCACGCGCGTGCTCCACTAGCACCCCCCGTCAATGCTCGCCGGCAGTACACTTTCCGTCACAGGAAACGCTTTGCTGGCGGTGAAAATAATCCCACCCCTCCAACAGAGGGATGTCCTTGTCCTTTTTCCTTTTCGTCATTTCAAGCGATAAAAACTCGTTCTTCTCTCGAATTCTTTTTTTTGGACGCCCTCGGCTCGAGTTCAGGGCGTTCCCCCCTCAGGTCAGAGACACTGACCTGAGATCAGATCAGAAGTTGTTTATTGATCTTGCGTTGCAGCAGCACAAAAATACATGGCAATGTACAATCAAAATGTAAAGACTAGAAATAAAGAATCCAAAATGTAAACATCTCAAAATTGAAATAAAATAGCATTAAAAAAAGAAAAAGTAGAAAATATACACGTTGAATTACAAATGTACGGTAACAAAATATAAAGCAGAATATTATATATACATAAGCATGTGAGGATATTAAATATTAGATTGAATATAAATGTAAAATGTACAGAGTGAGTTTAAATCCAGAGATCTGACGCTGAAGGGAAATATCCCAGCATGCAGCAGAGAGTGGTCGATGTTTACCTGCAGCTCACCTGTGGACACCAGACAGATGAAGATGGACTCAATATTATTAGAAGTCTTTATACTCTGAGCTGTGCTCAGGTCATACTCAGGTAAACAGTGTGCAGTGAAGCAGGCTCACTGCTGTCTGTGGTCATGTGACTCTCACTGTGATGTCACCGTCTGACTTCATCCATGCTTCGCCCCCAGAAGCTGATTCGCCTCTGCGCACTTCCTGGTTCCCTCACGGAGAAGGAGGAAGCTCAGTTCCTATTGGTCGTCTGTTCCAGAGTCAAACAGGATCCACACACGCTCAGATACGTCTTAGAGGTAACCAGCAGCTAACTAACCCACCTACTGCTAACAAGCTAACTAACCCACCTACTGCTAACTAACCCACCTACTGCTAACTAGCTAACTAACCCACCTAACTAACCCACGTACTGCTAACTGGCTAACTAACCCACCTACTGCTAACTAGCTAACTAACCCACCTACTGCTAACAAGCTAACTAACCCACCTACTGCTAACAAGCTAACTAACCCACCTACTGCTAACTAGCTAACTAACCCACCTACTGCTAACAAGCTAACTAACCCACCTACTGCTAACTAGCTAACTAACCCACCTACTGCTAACTAACCCACCTACTGCTAACAAGCTAACTAACCCACCTACTGCTAACAAGCTAACTAACCCACCTACTGCTAACTAGCTAACTAACCCACCTACTGCTAACTGGCTAACTAACCCACCTACTGCTAACTAACTAACTAACCCACCTACTGCTAACTGGCTAACTAACCCACCTACTGCTAACTAACTAACTAACTAACCCACCTACTGCTAACAAGCTAACTAACCCACCTACTGCTAACTAGCTAACTAACCCACCTACTGCTAACTAACTAACTAACCCACCTACTGCTAACTGGCTAACTAACCCACCTACTGCTAACTAACTAACTAACTAACCCACCACACAGCTAACTAACTAACCGAAACCTCACAAAGTTCTTATCGTATCTCCAAGAACCAATCATCTCTCTTTCAACTTGTGTTTTCAGATTGTGGACCAATCAGCAGCCAGGACAACATCATCTGTCCAATCACAGAATCACCAAGCCTCCATTCACGCGACAGAACCCACCTTGCTTTCCATCCAATCAGAGGCCTCTCCCGGCAGCCCTGTCCAATCAGAGGCCCCTCCCGGCAGCCCTGTCCAATCAGAGGCCTCTCCCGGCAGCCCTGTCCAATCAGAGGCCTCTCCCGGCAGCCCTGTCCAATCAGAGGCCCCTCCCGGCAGCCCTGTCCAATCAGAGGCCTCTCCCGGCAGCCCTGTCCAATCAGAGGCCTCTCCCGGCAGCCCTGTCCAATCAGAATCTGGTTTGCTGTCGGCTCTGCTGCAGCTCACCAGGAGTCAGGTCAGTACCTTAGTTGTGGTCTTCACAGTGTGTGTGAATGAGAGGAGTGTGTAGTGATCCTCACAGTGTGTGTGTAGTGGTCCTCACAGTGTGTGTGTGTGTGTGTGTGTGTGTGTGTGTGTGTGTGTGTGTGTGTGTGTGTGTGTGTGTGTGTGTGTGTGTGTGTGTGTGTGTGTGTGTGTGTGTGTGTGTGTGTGTGTGTGTGTGTGTGTGTGTGTGTTGTGTGTGTGTGTGTGTGGTGTGTGTGTGTGTGTGTGTGTGTGTGTGTGTGTGTGTGTGTGTGTGTGTGTGTGTGTGTGTGTGTGTGTGTGTGTGTGTGTGTGTGTGTGTGTGTGTGTCCTCAGAGGGCCCCGGTGTGTAGTGGTCCTCACAGTATGTGTGTGTGTGTCCTCAGAGGGCCCCGGTGTGTGTGAAGGCCTATGAGGCCCTGCTGCTGCTGGCTTCTCTCCAGGAGTCTGAGGGGGAGCTTCTCTCTCTCAGTGCCCAGCTAGGAGAGCTGATGGTGGGCAGGATGAAGCTGCTGCACTCCCTGCTGCCTCTGGAGGAACTGCAGCATGAGGAGATACTGAGCTGGCCTCACACACCCTGGAGGTACACACACACACACACACACACACACACACACACACACACCGATGAGTTCTGCATCGGCGGGTACCCAACGGGTGAACCGCAAAATGCAAAAAAAACAGTATGCATGATGTTCAGTAAACGACCAGTCAAAATGGAAGGATCCAATGTGTTTTTAAACGGAGCAGAATTAGAGTACCAAGTATCTTGGAGTCATACTGGACTCGAACTTGACTTTTAAGAAACATATTAAGAAAGTATCAAATACTATTAAATTCAACTTGCAAAATGTTAACCTGTTAAGCCCGAGAGACCCCGGTACCGGGGCACTGCCGCAACATCTTGCAGGAAACAGTGTCTGAGGGCATATTCATTTAATAAACTATGAATGCTTTATATCCATGTAACGGGAAGAAACTCATCTAACTGATCATTTTTATTTGTTTTTCAAAAGAAAACCCACAATGCTAACACTGCATTCCTGCATTCCTGCATTCCTTGATGCGCCGGTGAAGATGGCCGCATCGTCTTTGTGCTCCTCTCCAACTTTGCCCATTTTCGTATTTTGTACATATTTCTTTTACTTTTGCCGTTTTACTTTTAACATGGTTCGCAACATGCTAGCCGACCGCACCTACTCTGCCATACAATATAGCAGAGAGGAACTTTTCCAATTGCGAAACTTCGTGGACAATAATAACCCTCCGACAGACAATGGAGATTCACCATGGCTACCTGTTGCTGTTCTACCTGAGAGACGCAAGAAGAAGACAAAGCGAGGATGCCGGGCCGGGTTGCTGGTCAGACTGAGGAAACGAGAGAATCGGCCCCCTCTTCCGAGTATTCTTCTGGCTAATGTTCAATCCATTGAAAATAAGCTAGATGAACTCAGAAGCCGGATTGCTTTTCAACGGGACATTAAGAACTGTAATGTGTTAATTCTCACTGAGACTTGGCTCAACCCCGCTATCCCGGACTCCGCCATTGTCCCTGATGGATTCTCTATTTTTCGTCAGGACCGGACTGCTAACTCGGGGAAAAGTAAGGGAGGCGGTGTGTGTGTAATGACTAACAACAACTGGTGCTCAGATGTGAAGATTATTTCTTCGGACTGTTCCGCACAGCTAGAGCACCTCATGATCTCATGTCGGGCCTTCCATCTGCCGAGGGAATTCTCATCTGTTGTGATAACAGCAGTGTATGTCCCCCCGCAGCCACTCGCCGACAACAACACGGCACTCGATCAGCTGTTTGGGTTTATTGATAAAACCGAGACTTCACGGCCAGATGCGGCGTTCGTTGTGGCCGGAGATTTCAACACCGCCAACATGAAGAAGGTTTTGCCAAAATATTACCAACACATCAACTTCCCGACGCGCGGGGGAAACATACTGGACCATGTTTATTCCCCTTTCCGGAATGGATATAAGGCTCTCCCTCGCCCTCCCTTCGGCAAATCAGACCATATCTCACTACTGTTGTTGCCTGCGTACAAGCAGAAACTTAAAAGGGACAGACCGATAACAAGGACAGTACAACGATGGAGCGAGGAGTCAGATGAGGCACTGCAGGATTGCTTTGCATCTACGGATTGGAGTGTGTTTGAGGACAACAACATCAACACACACACGGACACTGTCATCTGCTACATTGGGAAATGCATCGATGACGTGGTACCGAAGGTTTCTGTACGGACATTCCCAAATCAAAAGCCCTGGGTAAACGGTGAGGTGCGCGGCAAACTGAAAGCGCGCACTCTCGCGCACAGAGCTGGAGATTTGGAGGAGTACAGGAAGTCTAGGTATGATCTCCGGAGAGCAATTCAAAATGCAAAGAGACAGTACAAAGAGAAGGTGGAATCTGACTTCAAAGGCTGTAACACTAGGAATATGTGGGCGGGACTAAGGACAATGACTGACTACAAAGGAGCAGCGGGGGGTGCTGCGGGAGTGTCTGCGTGCGCATCTCTCCCAGATGAGCTGAACAGGTTTTTTTGCACGCTTTGAGAGCAGCCGGGCTGTGGAGGTACAGAGGGACCAGGAGCTACACTGCCCTTTTGTTTTAAACAGGGCAGATGTGTGTAAATCCTTTAAAAGGGTTAACCCACACAAGGCTCCTGGACCTGATGGCATCCCTGGCCGTGTTCTCAGGGTGTGTGCAGTTCAGCTGGCAGAGGTGTTCACAGACATCTTCAACAGGTCCCTGCTGCAGTCTGTAGTCCCCACATGTCTTAAACACTCTACCATCATTCCTGTCCCCAAAAAGACAATCATCACCTGCCCCAACGACTACCGCCCAGTAGCACTCACCTCCATCATAATGAAGTGCTTTGAGCGGTTAGTCAAATTATTCATCACCTCCTCCCTCCCTGAATCTCTGGACCCCCTGCAGTTTGCCTACAGAGCAAACAGGTCCACAGACGACGCCATAGCCCTCACCCTCCACACTGCCCTCTCACACCTGGACCCGAAGAACAGGAACACATATGTGAGAATGCTGTTCATTGACTACAGTTCAGCATTCAACACCATTGTGCCCTCCAAGCTGGCCATCAAGCTCAGAGACCTCGGGCTCAACAGCGCCCTCTGTGACTGGATCCTGAACTTCCTGACGGGCAGACCCCAGGCAGTGCGGGTGGGAAACATCACATCCTCCACCCTGATTCTCAACACCGGTGCCCCTCAAGGCTGCGTGCTCAGCCCTCTCCTCTACTCCCTGTTCACCCACGACTGCGTGGCCACACACAGCTCCAACACCATCGTGAAGTTTGCTGATGACACGACCGTCATCGGCCAGATCACAGACGATGACGAGACGGCGTACAGAGAGGAGGTCGAAAACCTGACATCTTGGTGCCAGGAGAACAACCTCCATCTCAACATCAGCAAAACAAAGGAGCTGATTGTGGATTACAGGAAGCAGCAGGGAGAGGGACACGCCCCCATCGCCATCAATGGGACTACGGTGGAGAGAGTCAAAAGCTTCAGGTTCCTTGGGGTCCACATCACTGAGGACCTGACATGGTCTCTTCACACCACCACCATCACCAAAAAAGCTCGACAGCGGCTCTTCTTCCTCCGCAGGCTGAGGAGGTTCAAAATGGATTCCAGGATACTCTGCAACTTCTACAGGTGCACGATAGAGAGTATCCTCACTGGCAGCATGACGGCCTGGTACGGCAGCTGCACCGACCTCGATCGTAAGGCTTTACAGAGGGTGGTGAAAACTGCACAGCACATCACCAGGACGGAGCTGCCATCCATGGAGGACCTTTACTCCCAGCGGCTCAGGAAGAAATCACTACGGATTATCAAAGACCCCCATCACCCCAGCCACAAACTGTTCTTTCTGTTGCCGTCTGGCAGACGTTACCGCAGCATCCTGGCAAGGACAAGAAGATTCGGAGACAGTTTCTTCCCGCGGGCAGTGAGACTGTTAACCTGTTTCACGCCTTCCCCCCGGTACCGGGCGGATAAACGCGTCATTTGCAGGAAACAACGTCTAAGGAATCTTAATATTGAATAAAACTATGAATGTGTTATATCCATGTAACGGGAAGAAACTCAGCTAACTGATCTTTTTAATTTTTTTTTTCAAAAAAAACCCACAATGCTAGCACTCAGCCTCTGAATTAGCCTCGATCGAAAAAACGGGACCGACAAAGACACATAAACTCACTCAGAACTCCCTTATTACTTATCCTAGATGCACAACCAAACACTATTTTTTGGTGTCCTGGAGACACTGAATCTAACGGTGCCCACCTCAACACTCAGTGATAAACATTCGCGACGCTATCAACGAAAGCGTACATCATCACATGTGGAGCCAAGAAGCTAAACATATAAATATGGCTTACCTTGGTCAAAAGTGGTCTTCAATGGCATTAAAACGATAAAAAAAACGATGCTGCAGTTAATCCATAGGTTCATCCTATGTGTCTGTGCCTTCTTTGAAATTATTTCTGATAATCCATAAGCAATACAACTGCGTTTTAGTTTCCAAACTCCAGAAGGAGACATTCCTCCAGTTTAGTTTCGCTTTCCACACGCGAAGCGGCAACATTTTTTCTTTACAATGTGTGTCTATGTAGGTATCCTCCTTCGATTCTATTGGCTCTAACGGTCACAAGGGTATGTCAACCAACCAGATCGAGCAAGGGGGGCCAGAGATAGGTCAAATCCACCCAAATGACCCCAGATGGCCCAGTTTTTGGCTAAATCTCTCTAAAAAGGTCAAATTTCACTTGTTTTGCATCAATCTTGATACAGGGTACTTATTATATGTTGTACTTTGGATTCCTAAAGCTTGTAGTCTACTAACCCATCATCCAAGGGTAGTTTTCACTATCTGTAAAAAATAATTTTTGGACGACACTATAATTTACAGTTTTTTACTATGTAAAATCTGAATTTTCTTTAAAATAAAAAACATTTATATTGATTCTGACACTTCTACATCCAACTCACAGGTTTATCATTACTTTGAGAAAAGATTATTAATTTAACCCTTTTAGAAGGGAAGATATGGTCATTTGTTCTGGGAATGTCATTTTCGAGCCTGAGACCTGAAAAACAGGCTCAGAGTGGAACAGGTTAAACAATTGAACTGTTGAAACAACTTCAAACATTCAACTGCTACTCAGTAGTATGTATCTAATACCTAATATATATATATCATTCCAATAACTTGTATATAGACTCATACTGCACTATTCCACATCATAACTTTATTTCATTTTTATAACTATTATTATTTTTGTATTGCTCTTGCTCTTATTGTTATTATGTTATGTTATTATGTTGCATTGTTGGAGAAGCCTGTGACATAAGATTTTCAACTGCATAATTACTCTGTAGCTATGTCAGATTGACAATAAAGAACCTTGAACCTTGAACTGAGCCTCTGAATTAGCAACGAGCGAAAAATGCTAACAGATTACTGCACAGAAAATCACTCACAAAACCTTATTATTTATCTCTTCACCACATCCATGACATCGTTTCACATCGTGAGGTGACACAGAATCGATGGGTACCCTCATTATCACTGAATTATACGAATTCGCGACGTTATAAACAAAAACGGACATCAAAACAGGTGACGCTAGGTAGCTAAAAATGCTAACATGCTTACCTTGGCTCTGTAGTCTCTCCAAAATGGTCTTCAATGGCATTAAAACGATAAAAGTTGAAGTTAATCCATAGGTTAATCTAATGTGTCTGTGTCCCTTTGAAATGATTTCTGATAATCCATGCTTTTAGGTTTCTAGATGTCAGAGCTAGACTGTAGCTTCACTCTAATGCAAAACTGCATGCGCGAAGCCCCCACCTCTTCTCTTCACAATGTGTGTGTGTGGGGGACTCCCCCTTCGATTCTATTGGCTCTAACGGTCAGAAAGAGGTGTCAACCATCAAAATCGAGCAAGGGGGGTCAGAGATATGAAAAATCCACCCAAATGACCCCAGAAGTGGTTTCTTTTTGCTAAACCTCTCTAAAAAGGTCAAAGGTCACTTGTTTTGCATCAATCTTGATACAGGGTACTTATTATATGTTGTACTTTGGATTCCTAAAGCTTTTAGTCTACTAACCCATCAAACTGGTCTTGTGCCTCAAACCTGAAACCCATAGAACAGCTGAGAGAGAGAGCTATCAAGGTGTTTGACAGAAAGCCTTATTCATACCACCACTGCACCATCCTGGAGAAACACAACTTCTTGAGTTTTGACCATTTTAAGTCTTTTAGAAGTATGTGTTTTATTTATAAATGTTTACATGGACTGCCCCCCCCCCCCCCCCTTAGGGGAATTCACGCTGCACTAGGTCAGAAACCAGAGGAGACTGAGGTCCACCGCAGAGGGACCACTTTTGGTCTACATGTCCTCTCCATTAAAGACAGCTCGTTGTGGAACAGCCTCTCAGCTGAGATACGGGATCGTTTCACTCTCAATAGTTCAAAGGTCAACTCAGGGAATGGATGAGAAACAAACAGACGAGCAATCACCGCTAAATGCACTTTAACTCAGGGGTCTCTCCTCTCCTTTAACTCAGGGGTCTCTCCTCTCCTTTAACTCAGGGGTCTCTCCTCTCCTTTAACTCAGGGGTCTCTCCTCCTCTTTAACTCAGGGGTATCTCCTCCTCTTTAACTCAGGGGTCTCTCCTCCTCTTTAACTCAGGGGTCTCTCCTCCTCTTTAACTCAGGGGTCTCTCCTCCTCTTTAACTCAGGGGTATCTCCTCCTCTTTAACTCAGGGGTCTCTCCTCCTCTTTAACTCAGGGGTCTCTCCTCCTCTTTAACTCAGGGGTATCTCCTCCTCTTTAACTCAGGGGTCTCTCCTCCTCTTTAACTCAGGGGTCTCTCCTCCTCTTTAACTCAGGGGTCTCTCCTCCTCTTTAACTCAGGGGTCTCTCCTCCTCTTTAACTCAGGGGTATCTCCTCTCCTATAACTCAGGGGTCTCTCCTCTCCTTTAACTCAGGGGTATCTCCTCTCCTATAACTCAGGGGTCTCTCCTCTCCTTTAACTCAGGGGTCTCTCCTCTCCTTTAACTCAGGGGTCTCTCCTCCTCTTTAACTCAGGGGTCTCTCCTCCTCTTTAACTCAGGGGTATCTCCTCTCCTATAACTCAGGGGTCTCTCCTCTCCTTTAACTCAGGGGTATCTCCTCTCCTATAACTCAGGGGTCTCTCCTCTCCTTTAACTCAGGGGTCTCTCCTCTCCTTTAACTCAGGGGTCTCTCCTCTCCTATAACTCAGGGGTCTCTCCTCTCCTTTAACTCAGGGGTCTCTCCTCTCCTTTAACTCAGGGGTTTGTCCCTGCCAAATAAACCATTCATAAAGAAAGTGATTTGCGGGTGGTATTTTTTCAAAGATTGTTTCCGGGTTCGGTTCTGGGTAAAACAAAGAAGATGCGGGTCGGGTCGCGGGTGTTGCATAATAAATATATTAAAATAATAATAATTTAGTTTAATGTTTAAATCCTGAGACCTCTCCCCCGCGGGACCCTGCATCATCGTAACCTCTGCAGCGCGTCATCGCAACCTCTGCAGCGCGTCATCGCAACCTCTGCAGCGCGTCATCGCAACCTCTGCAGCGCGTCATCGCAACCTCTGCAGCGCGTCATCGTAACCTCTGCAGCGCGTCATCGCAACCTCTGCAGCGCGTCATCGCAACCTCTGCAGCGCGTCATCGCAACCTCTGCAGCGCGTCATCGCAACCTCTGCAGCGCGTCATCGCAACCTCTGCAGCGCATCAGTCTGCTGCTGAGCTGAAGCTCTCTAGTGGAGGATACAGCGTTATCAATAACTCTTCCTCAAGAGCGAAATCCATCGTCTGGGAGGCTTTGGTTTCGTCCTGGAGAACAGAACCAACATCCCACACTTTGGTTTCATCCTGGAGAACAGAACCAACACCCCACGCTTTGGTTTCATCCTGGAGAACAGAACCAACACCCCACGCTTTGGTTTCATCCTGGAGAACAGAACCAACACCCCACACTTTGGTTTCATCCTGGAGAACAGAACCAACACCCCACACTTTGGTTTCATCCTGGAGAACAGAACCAACACCCCACGCTTTGGTTTCATCCTGGAGAACAGAACCAACACCCCACGCTTTGGTTTCATCCTGGAGAACAGAACCAACACCCCACGCTTTGGTTTCATCCTGGAGAACAGAACCAACATCCCACGCTTTGGGTTCATCCTGGAGAACAGAACCAACATCCCACGCTTTGGGTTCATCCTGGAGAACAGAACCAACATCCCACGCTTTGGGTTCATCCTGGAGAACAGAACCAACATCCCACACTTTGGTTTCATCCTGGAGAACAGAACCAACATCCCACGCTTTGGGTTCATCCTGGAGAACAGAACCAACACCCCACGCTTTGGGTTCATCCTGGAGAACAGAACCAACACCCCACGCTTTGGGTTCATCCTGGAGAACAGAACCAACATCCCACGCTTTGGGTTCATCCTGGAGAACAGAACCAACATCCCACGCTTTGGGTTCATCCTGGAGAACAGAACCAACACCCCACGCTTTGGGTTCATCCTGGAGAACAGAACCAACACCCCACGCTTTGGGTTCATCCTGGAGAACAGAACCAACATCCCACGCTTTGGGTTCATCCTGGAGAACAGAACCAACATCCCACGCTTTGGGTTCATCCTGGAGAACAGAACCAACACCCCACGCTTTGGGTTCATCCTGGAGAACAGAACCAACACCCCACGCTTTGGGTTCATCCTGGAGAACAGAACCAACACCCCACGCTTTGGGTTCATCCTGGAGAACAGAACCAACATCCCACGCTTTGGGTTCATCCTGGAGAACAGAACCAACACCCCACGCTTTGGTTTCATCCTGGAGAACAGAACCAACACCCCACGCTTTGGTTTCATCCTGGAGAACAGAACCAACACCCCACGCTTTGGGTTCATCCTGGAGAACAGAACCAACATCCCACGCTTTGGTTTCATCCTGGAGAACAGAACCAACACCCCACGCTTTGGGTTCATCCTGGAGAACAGAACCAACACCCCACGCTTTGGGTTCATCCTGGAGAACAGAACCAACACCCCACGCTTTTGAGACAAATATGCAACTGCGTGTGTTAATAATCACTGCTCATAGGATATGCCGGTTCGGGTCGGTTTGTGTAACTATGCGGGGCGGGTAGCGGGGCGGGTGTGTGTGTGCAGGTCTCTGACACACACACACTGAACACACACTACACAGTGAACACACACACACACACTGAACACACACTACACAGTGAACACACACACACACTGAACACACACTACACAGTGAACACACACACACACACTGAACACACACTACACAGTGAACACACACACACACTGAACACACACTACACAGTGAACACACACTGAACACACACTACACAGTGAACACACACTGAACACACACTACACAGTGAACACACACTGAACACACACTACACAGTGAACACACACACACACTACACAGTGAACACACACTGAACACACACTACACAGTGAACACACACTACACAGTGAACACACACACACACACTGAACACACACTACACAGTGAACACACACTACACAGTGAACACACACACACACTGAACACACACTACACAGTGAACACACACACACACTTCACACTGAACACACACACACTCTCAGTACTCTTGTCTCTGTGTTGCAGCTCTCAGTTTTCCCGCTGCAGCTCTGAGTCTGCGGCCTCTGGTCACATGACCAACTTCTTCTCCTGGCTGGACTTCCTGGATCACCTGATGAGAGAGGCTCCACAGGTACACACACCTGCGCACACACACACACACACACACACGTTGTATCTGTCTGTGATTCAGAGTCTCATGTTAATGTGTGTGTTAGCAGGTGTTAGCGCTGAAGCTAGCTCAGTGTGTTCATCGGTTCTGGTTGGTGGACGTTCTTCAGCCTCAGCTGCTGCACACGTGAGTCTGACTTCCTGTCTACCTGCACAGGTACACTGCAGAGCTTCTTATTGTGTGTGTGTGAGCAGGTGTGTGTGTGTGTGTGTGCAGGTGTGAGCAGGTGGTCCTGGTCTCCACCTCGCTCCTCTCTGCTGTCGTCCGATTGGTCCAGTCCTCCTCTCTGCTGGATCAGATCGTTCACTTCCTGCTGAGGACGGACGCTCTGACTCACCTGCTGCTGCAGCGCTGCGACCACATCTCTGACCAGGTGAGGGCTGCAGGGGAGGGGCACTACAGGTGAGGGCTGCAGGGGAGGGGCACTACAGGTGAGGGCTGCAGGTGAGGGGCACTACAGGTGAGGGGAGGGGCACTACAGGTGAGGGCTGCAGGGGAGGGGCACTACAGGTGAGGGCTGCAGGTGAGGGCTGCAGGTGAGGGCTGCAGGGGAGGGGCACTACAGGTGAGGGCTGCAGGGGAGGGGCACTACAGGTGAGGGCTGCAGGGGAGGGGCACTACAGGTGAGGGCTGCAGGTGAGGGGCACTACAGGTGAGGGCTGCAGGGGAGGGGCACTACAGGTGAGGGCTGCAGGGGAGGGGCACTACAGGTGAGGGGAGGGGCACTACAGGTGAGGGCTGCAGGGGAGGGGCACTACAGGTGAGGGCTGCAGGTGAGGGGCACTACAGGTGAGGGCTGCAGGGGAGGGGCACTACAGGTGAGGGGAGGGGCACTACAGGTGAGGGCTGCAGGGGAGGGGCACTACAGGTGAGGGCTGCAGGGGAGGGGCACTACAGGTGAGGGCTGCAGGGGAGGGGGCACTACAGGTGAGGGGAGGGGCACTACAGGTGAGGGCTGCAGGGGAGGGGCACTACAGGTGAGGGCTGCAGGGGAGGGGCACTACAGGTGAGGGCTGCAGGGGAGGGCTGCAGGGGAGGGGCACTACAGGTGAGGGTAACGTGCCTCCTATGTACCAGGTTAACATTGAAAGTGATGATATGTCCCAATGCGTCTCAATGTTACTCCAGCTGCCTATCAGCCACTCAAATGGCACAAAACTCCCGTTCCATGGACAGACGTGTAAAACACTCAGATTCCAACAGATGGAGCTCTAGACTAATTTATAACATTTGTAAAAATGTTGTTAAGTCTGAAAAACACGCTATTATGGATGATAAATAGGTTAATATGGTAAACAAGGGCGCACGACCCCCAAACTTCGTGGGTGTGTTCCAACGGGTACAAAGTGTAAATATACCAAGTTTGATGGACCTGTGATGTCTGTCAATATTTGAATTAAAACAGTTTAATCGAGTTTGAGCACTAGTATTGGGCGGCAATGGCTCAGTCTGTAGGGACTTGGTCTTGGAACCGAAGGGTCGCCGGTTCACGTCCCGATCGGACCAAAACAATGTGAGCTGGAGAGGTGCCAGTTCACCTCCAAGGCCACTGCCGAGGGGCCCTTGAGCAAGGCACCTAACCTTGAAACTGCTCCCTTGGCGCCGGGTACCTGGCAACCTCTCTGCTCTGCATGTGGGTGTGTGTGTGTGCATGTATATCCTCTGTGTGTGCATGTATATCCTGTGTGTGTGTGTGTGCATGTATATCCTGTGTGTGTGTGCATGTATATCCTGTGTGTGTGTGCATGTATATCCTCTGTGTGTGCATGTATATCCTGTGTGTGTGTGCATGTATATCCTCTGTGTGTGCATGTATATCCTGTGTGTGTGTGCATGTATATCCTCTGTGTGTGTGTGCATGTATATCCTGTGTGTGTGTGCATGTATATCCTGTGTGTGCATGTATATCCTGTGTGTGTGTGCATGTATATCCTCTGTGTGTGTGCATGTATATCCTCTGTGTGTGTGTGCATGTATATCCTGTGTGTGTGTGCATGTATATCCTGTGTGTGTGTGCATGTATATCCTGTGTGTGTGTGCATGTATATCCTCTGTGTGTGCATGTATATCCTCTGTGTGTGTGCATGTATATCCTGTGTGTGTGCATGTATATCCTGTGTGTGTGCATGTATATCCTGTGTGTGTGCATGTATATCCTGTGTGTGTGCATGTATATCCTGTGTGTGTGCATGTATATCCTCTGTGTGTGTGTGCATGTATATCCTCTGTGTGTGTGCATGTATATCCTCTGTGTGTGTGTGCATGTATATCCTCTGTGTGTGTGTGCATGTATATCCTCTGTGTGTGTGCATGTATATCCTCTGTGTGTGTGTGCATGTATATCCTCTGTGTGTGTGTAAACACAACAGAGTGGGGAAAGACATTTCCCTGTAAGGGATTAATAAAGTGTTTCTTCTTCTTCTTCTTCTTCTTCTTCTTCTTCTAATATACCCATGTTTTGAACACTGTAGCGGGGTAAACATGTTATCTTTTCACCCTGGGTCTATGGGTCTCTGAGACCCTGCTAACAGCAGTGACTCTGCTGCCTGCATTTAAACAGATTCACCAGTTTATAACATTACTTTAGCCCTGATCAGAGCCCTGTTTTCTGGGTAAGACAGTGAGGTGCTGTACCCTGGGTCTCTGGCTCTATGGGTCTCTGGGTCTCTGGGTCTCTGGGTCTCTGGCTCTCTGGGTCTCTGGGTCTCTGGGTCTCTGGGTCTCTGGGTCTATGGGTCTATGGGTCTCTGGGTCTATGGGTCTCTGGGTCTCTGGGTCTATGGGTCTATGGGTCTCTGGGTCTCTGGGTCTATGGGTCTCTGGGTCTCTGGGTCTCTGGGTCTATGGGTCTCTGGGTCTCTGGCTCTATGGGTCTCTGGGTCTCTGGCTCTATGGGTCTATGGGTCTCTGGGTCTATGGGTCTCTGGGTCTATGGGTCTATGGGTCTCTGGGTCTCTGGGTCTATGGGTCTCTGGGTCTATGGGCCTATGGGTCTATGGGTCTCTGGGTCTATGGGTCTCTGGGTCTCTGGGTCTATGGGTCTCTGGGTCTATGGGTCTCTGGGTCTATGGGTCTCTGGGTCTCTGGGTCTATGGGTCTATGGGTCTCTGGGTCTATGGGTCTCTGGGTCTATGGGCCTATGGGTCTATGGGTCTATGGGTCTCTGGGTCTATGGGTCTATGGGTCTCTGGGTCTATGGGTCTCTGGGTCTATGGGTCTATGGGTCTATGGGCCTATGGGTCTATGGGTCTCTGGGTCTATGGGTCTCTGGGTCTCTGGGTCTATGGGTCTCTGGGTCTATGGGTCTATGGGTCTCTGAGACCCTGCTAACAGCAGTGATTCTGCTGTTCTTAGCTTCTTGTACATTTAACGACATACATGTGATTGATATGTACATGTTCCTGTCTATACTGACATGTATGTGTCCATAACTCCGTATGTTTATGTCGTTAAATGTACACCGTCTTAAAACGACAATAATGAGTGAATTAAA